CCATGCCAACTTTAATAGTGATCCTTTGATGTCCTACACATATGGGTGGGAGAAGGTTCTATAGGATAATTACTCGTATAATATATACTATAGTGTATTTTATAATTATTCTGTTATATAATATCTAATAGATATTATATAATGAAATATATTATATTACATAAATGTATAATATATATATTATAATAATGTATTATTTCTTATATAACATATATTTATATGAAATAATACAATATATTAAATATTATATTTAACGTAATGCAAAATATAATATAGTGTATTTTATATTTATTCTATTGATATATATTTGTATTATATAAGATATATTATATAATGAATTATTTTATTATTATATAATATACATAAAATAATATATATATATATATATAAAACATAACATTGTACTTTTTATTTATTTTATTAATATATATATATATATGTTTATATCAAATAATATAATATATTATACATGGTATATATTATATTGTATATTATACAATAAAACATATACATTTTATATATGGGGGGTTCATAAAAAAAAAAACTTTCAAGTGTAAGTTCCAACCCTGGGGTTGGAATTTTGTTTTAAAGTAAAATTGGAACTTGAACAGTTTCTCGAAGTTTTGTTTGAAGTTCAATTTTTTTTATGAAAACTTGATAAGTATTGAGAAATTTTTAAAAAGTTACTACATGGGTATGAAACTTTTGACTTTTTTATAGATATATGTAATATTTAATGGTAATTCTTTGAGGTTCTTCATACGGGTAGAACAGGGTCTCCATATGGGTTGGAAGAGGGTCTGTTGGGTGATTTCTCTTATATAATATATATAAATTCGGGGAAACACGTTTTCTTACTAAATGGCATCGAAAGCATAGACCTATGTTCTAGGAGGTACCAGTTCTAAGAGAGGCATTCCCCACGATACCCATTTCCTGCAACCAAACAGAACCTAAGTAAAGTTGCATAGGGACCCCGCGCTCAACTTTTAGGAAGGATTGGAATTCAAGTAAGCCCTAACCCATCTGTTGCCGCACTGAAGCTCAACCCAATCTACCATTGCCGCTCGGCCCACCGAAGCTCAACCCTGCAACTTCTATCCTCCTCGCCCAAAGTTCGTTCTCTCCTTGTCGCTCTAGCCATCCAGGAACCCTAATCTCTTGTTCTGGGCAGAGGATACCGGGTGCGCTCATCCATCTCTCTTTCTGTTGGTCTTGGTCTCTTTGTTTCTCTCTCTAGAATTTCTAAGACGGGCTTTCCTCAGCCCCTTTTTTTTTTTTTCTAGATATTATTGAATCTTCAGACTAGATATTATTGAATCTTCAGATGGGTTTGAGTCTCTCTATAATTTTGAGATGATTTTGGTCTATCGGTTAACATTGTGGTTGGAGGTTTCATTGGTCTCTCTCGAGAACTTTAACAGGGTTCTGCTGTTTAACTTTGGTTTTGCTATAGAGAATGCCCAAATCTAGTAGGGTTTTTTTTTTGTTAAAGAGATTATGCGGAATATCTATACCCAACTCTAACAGGGTCAAGTTGGTTTATTATACTTATTTAACTGAAGAATCATTCACATGTTTGTTGTATAGTTTATTACTTACTTCTTCGAAGTTTCTGCATTTTTCGCCTTTTTACCATGAATGGCATTTTCATATTGATTTTTTTTTTTTTGCACTGTGTTGTGATTAATTCGTTGATTATTTGCCTCTTTTGAAGTGTGATTCTTTTTTTTTAATGTGTTTTTGAAATGGAATTCGATCATGTTTTGGTGTGATTTGATTCTGTTTTTTCATGATGTGCTAATAGTTGGCGACCTCGTTGATCTGAACGTGTGATGTTTATTTGTGTTTTATTGCATAATTCTGAAAACTGAATTAATATTTTGTACACTGCAAAACTCCTTGTTTGTTTTTTATCTACTTATTTCTTTGTTATTTCTCGTGTTTTATTTACATCTTATTCATCTGTTTATTGTTTGATTGCTTTGCTATTTCTGTAATTTTTCACATCTTAGGACTCTTCCATGAATATTTTATTCAGTTTATCCATGATTTATTAATCACTAGTGCTCATTTTTTCCTATGCATCCTTTTGAAATTTCTGCCATGGATAAGTTGATCAGTCAATTATTTTGTTCCACGATTTTTTTTGCTAATTATTGCTATTGTTATGTGCAATTGCTATGGGTGGACTGTGTGGTTCAAATGAGTGGTTGGATTGGAATTTGTTCTCCTTTTGTTTGGTTTTCTGGGAGAAGTTATTCTTTTAATTACATTATTTGGATTAGAGTATGTGTTTTGTTCGAGTTTATTCTTGGTTTTTTGGTCAGGATTATTCTCAATGATTTATGTCGGATTAAGGAATTTTCTTGAGTAATTCATTCAGGTAATTCGTGTGCCAGTTAATTTCAAAGTTAATTTTTGTTTATATTGTATACATGGGTTTCCACTCCTTTTCTGTTAAATTCTGATTTTTGGCATGTAGCTTTTATGTAATTCTATTGAGCTTCCTGAAATTGTTAGTGCGATCTCTGCCTCTCTCTCTCTCTCTCATATCAGCATTTTTACTACCTCTTATGAGTCCATTGACTCTCATTTCATCTCTGAGATAGCGAGAACACGACTTAAGTGGAATTGGATGTAAGAGTTGTGCTTCTAGTTGTGGATATGCTCTGCTTGTTTTTTGGGATCTAAATGTTTAATGAGCATTGCACGATATAAGAACAAATTTCAATCTCAACCATTACATTTTATAAGATATGCATTAGATGGTTTGTAGTAAGAAAATGATATTCAAAATATGCATTTTGAACATCAAATCAATGAAATACACAATAAATGGTTAAGACATGTAGTTTCAGGCTGTCACAATATGAAACAAGTGAAAATAACAGCTCCACAATTTATTAAACAAGGTTCCTAGCTTTCAGGCTACCGATTTTCACTTTCCTCCCAAATTTTAGGAAAATCAGCAGCTGGAATTTTACTGGGGACACTACAGAGAAAGTTATTAAACGCACCCTTAGGGTTTGTGCCTTTATGGTGTGCCCTAGTTTTTGGAAGTTCTTTTTAGGGTGCGTTTGTTTGGGGGGAGGTTCTTCTCTAGAAGAGGAACCTCCTTTAATACTTTAGCAATCCCGCGTTTGATGTACGAGAAGTGCTACAGTGCCTGGACATTTCTTCCCCAAACCTTCCCCTTTTTCCTTTTAATAATGGAATGTCTATCTTCCGTGGAGAAGGGCAGAAGTTGATTTTCAGAAGGTTTTTGTGATAAAAAGTCCCTGACATTTTCTCATTTCTCTCCCATCTCAGATCAAGACCTAGTCGTCTCCTTCCCCGCCTCCAAGCTTGCAAGCCCTAGCCATCTCCTTCCTCTCTCTCGCGTCTGCCTCCGAGTCTCTGCAACCAGGTACGTCCCCTTCGCCTTCTCTCATCTTCTCTCATCCCCTCTCCCGCTGCATTCTCTCTCTTCTCTCATCTACTCTTTCTCTCCTTACGTGATTCTTTCTCTTTCTCTCTCATCTTCTTTGTCATCACTATTCCCTCTGCTTCTCTTGCTCTCTCCCAATCTGATCTTTCTCTCTCCCCTTGCTTTATCTCTTTGCTCTGTCTCTGTCTCTCTATCTGCCATGCATCCTCTCTCCCTTTGCTTCTCTGTCTCTCCCCCAATCTGGTTGCTCTCTCATCCTCCCTCTGTCTCTCTGCTATTTCTCTCAATCTGGTCTCTCTCTCATCCACCATCTCTTCCTTCTCTTCCTCTGTGCTCTCTCCCAATCTGGTCTCTCTCTCTCATCCACCATCTCTTTCCCTCTCTCCTTCTGCTCGCTCTCCCCTAATCAGGTCTCTTTCTCTCATCCACCCTCTATCTGCTTCTTTCTCTCTTCTCTGTCCCCCTTTTCTCTCTCCCTCATGACCAGCGAGGAACTCAAGATTCTTTACAGAAAAAATTGCCTTCAAATTCACTTCTCTTTCTAATTCTGAACTGAGGTTTTTCCCTTTTCTGTTCTCTGTTTTCCCTATTTTAGGGTTTATTTGAGCATTCATTCTAGGGTTTTTCATTATCAGTTTTTCTTTTGTTGTTTATCGCTATACTCTGTGTTGATTGATTCAAATACTGTCTTCGGAAGTTATTATTTGATGTTCTATCTATTGAGTTTGAGTTGCTTTGGTTATGAGTGAGGACTTTGCAAAGTCCTGTTACGTTGTCTCTGCAACTCTTCATTGTAAGTTTTGGTTGAATTGCTTGATTGTCGGTGTTTCATTGGTTATATATTTTTAGTGTGTTCAATTACTCTTTTTTAATAAATCTAAGCTTTAATTTTCTGTTGAATTAATGAGATATTACTGTATTCAATGACTTCTCCTCATTAAACCAAGTTTTTGTATAATTTTCTTTGATTTTTCAATGATATTAAATTGCTTATGATGTTGATTTTTGAGTAATAAGTGTTAGCACAGAAAGAGAACATCGTTTGCAAGCATTAGGCCCTTATGCTTGCAACCAGTTTGTGACCTTGCGAGCATGCACAACAAGCATAAAAGTGATGCTTTAATGGCACAATGTGTTGCATAAGCGAACTCCAACCATGTTTTCTTCTTTTAAACTGTGAATTGTAGTAGCTATCACAAAAGCACAATGTCTAATTTGTTTTTGCATCTTCTTGTTTTCTCTAGTTTCTACAAGGTTTTATGCTCTTCCATTTATGGCTTTATTTTCAATATTTTGTTGCTATATGCTAGTGATTGTTCATGTAATAATCCGAAGTATGGCTGACATTCTAGGTTTTTCATTTGATTGCTTCTAATACTAACTCTTTACAAGTAAGAATATTTAATTTGCTTGTATTTTCTGTTAGCTGCTCTTAAATATTACTTTGCTAATGGGTAATGCAGTCTTGTTTGCTCAATTTATTGCCTTGATATATTGTTTTAAATGTTTTGATTTGATTGGTAGTTTCATGAATGAGTATAAGGGGACTATGTAGCCAGCTTGGTGGGCCACAATGGTTATTTTCACTGAAAAACTGTCACGTGAAGCTGTTAACTATCAACCAGTGAAACTTGTTTTTCCTGCATGCTCTTATTGAGCAACTTGTTGTGCCTGCATGTGTCTGACATTATTGTCAAAATTTGGGAAGAAATGGCAAGATTATTTTTTTAAATGGTCCCATTTGGTAAAACTGCTTTGGCCACAAAGTTGGACGTTTCTGATGCTTGACCTTGCTATTGCTTTTCCATATCACATCTTGTTTTCTAAATTCAAGGGTATAACTGCCAATATTTGCAATAGCAGAATATGAGATTGGGATGGTTAAATGAGTGGCTTTAATAAGAATATGCATCTCAGCTAACTTCCAAAAAAAAAAAAGAAAAGCACCTTAGCTAAGGATGATTATCGCCATTTCCATGGAAGAAATGTCCTTTAAATTAACCACTTTGTACCATAATTTATTGTTGACTATACAAAAGGGTAGGGCCAACTAGCTAGAATCTAAGGAACCCACCCTTCATCCCAATCTGTGAGTCACCTCCAACAAATGTTTCTTCATAATCACCAAACTCATTTATATGCTAATATGTTACTTGAAACCTGTGTTGATTTTTGAAGACCTTAAGGTGCAATATATCCAGCTTGCAATTGCTATTGATAGTGCATCTGAATGCATAGCCTCCACAACAGTGCAAATCTGTCATACCATCATAGAATTTATTTTCTAATAAGGGTGTAGTTAGGGTTGCCTTGCCCTTTTCTTTTGTCAAATTTTGTGGACCACTGATTGGCACCTTGACATCTCCTGGTGCTTTACATTGTTTATAATTTTTTTTGATTCTAATAAAAAATTGTCACTGATTTAAAAAGGAAACAGATAAAATTTTGTCATTGCTTTTGCCCACTGGAGCTTGATGTTCATTCCCAGCTCCTTTTCTTTTACTCTGCTCTTGTTATCCTAAATTGTACATGACAAGAATTTTTGGTAGCCTGTTCAGGGGGGCACATTTTTTGGACCTGTGAGGTTTTTGTATAGGGCCCCACTTGTGTTGGGACCTACCGCTCTTACTCTCTGTACTCTCTTCTCGTACTCAATTTAAATGCTTGTGCTTACCATATTCTAGAGTCTCCTATTGCATTTCTCGGGGCATCTATTTCACACTTTAGTAACTACGCACGATGACTGCTGTGAATAGTCCATGTTTTTTTTTGTCATATGTTCAGTGTTATATATATATTTAAAGTGTTATATATATATTTATATATATTCTTTGATATGTTAATTGATTTTGTTTTTAGACTTCTTATCTTTGGATGTGGTACATGTGTATATTTTGTTTGAGGGGTAAGGTCTTGTTGAGTTTTGACTTGCACTTTTCCCGTTAGTCCATAAGGATCAGACACCCATATTCCAGGACCATACAAACTTGTGGCATGAAATGCGCCAAACCCAAAGCAAGCCACCTTTGAGATAAATAAATGAATTCCAAAGATTTTGGGCGAATCCAAAGAAGGTTTTCCTGTACGTTCATCAAAGAATATTTCTAGATCCCAATACACCCAATGCTAGATAGCTGCCAAAATGCACAAACCAGAAAACACAATATGTTCCCCGGCCACACCTTCGTAGCTCCAAATACTAGGATTCGTTATAGTTCCTCCTGTGATACTTGACCCAAAGAAGGTTTTCCTCTATGTTCATCAAAGAATATTTCTAGATCCCAATACACCCAATGCTAGATAGGTTCCAAAAAGCACAAATCAGAGATTCGTAGCTCCAAATACTCGGATTCGTTACAGTTCCTCCTATGATACTCGACCCACCCCATGAATTGGTTATTGATTCCTAAATGGGTTGTGAAGGGTACAAATGTTATGCACAATACACATAATGCTTATGATATTCAGTACACATCCCTATCATCCATCTGGCATCATTGTGGCAGATAATAGAGATGAGTGTAGTTTCATGGTGCATCATTGTAATTGGATCTACAATTCATCTCCCCCATCCTTTTAGGAATAACCAGTGGTTTCCTCATCCCTCAGCTGTGCAGCAGATTAGAGAGAAATAATAAAGGCAAAGGGTAAGCGAACATTTTCTCTTCAGGGTTTTCCAAAGCTGTGCTTTGCTGAAGGCACTGATTAGCTAAGGTGTCTCTCTCTCTTTCTCTCTCTTGCTCTGCTTCACTGAATGCCCTGATTAGCAAAACTCTCTCTCTCTGTCTCTTTCTCTCTCTCTTCTTTTTCTTCTTCACCTTGTTCTTGTTGTTCTGTTTTTGGTCTTTCTACTTGATATCAGGCATGTACTGTAACATTTAGGTATATTTTCAGAGAAGTTTTGATTGACAAACGAAATAACTGTTCTTTGGAGGAAACCTATATGAGATTTAGCAGATTTGATGAAGAAGTTTCACATATTTTGAGCTTATGGAGTTTTGAACTGTTGTTGTTGTATTTCTTCAATCATAAGAATAATTTATTTTAATTTCATGTCGAATGGTTTCTTGTCTGTTGATTTCCTCTGCATTCACAATTCAAGTGATGCTCACCAACTTTTAATGAACCATACGATGGAATTTTTCTCGTTTATTGTTTATGAAGAAGCTAGATCAAATTTCTCGTACTTTCCTTTCACAAAGTTCAATCTCCTGTTAACTCTCCATCTGTCCTATTGAGTATTGGACTAAATGAGTATTCGAATCTGTTGTAATTGTAAATCTGGAATCTTGCATTACGTTGAAGATTATCTCAGTGGATTTTCTGAAATTTTAGTTCCATGTAATAACCAAATGGCTTGATTCCATGTTCCTGTCAATTCTCTATCCTCTGAAGTCTATGTTAATGTTTTAAGGGTGCGGTTTCTATAGAGCCTAGGCTCTGAACAATCAAATTAGAGCCTACCATCAAATAGTGTCGAGAAATATAGTTTCAATACTATAGATCTTTTTGATAGCCTTAAAATATATTTTCATCTCTATTGATAAAGTTTAAAGCTTAAAAAATAGTGTAGATTGAGATATCTATGAAAATTTGAAAAATCTTTAAAATTGACTGTCCAAAAATGTGTTACAAAATGCACTATTCCCAAAACTTGAAATCCATTTTTTTCTTATGTTCATGCATCTTGATGGTGAGATGTTCAATTTGAGTATATTTGGGCATCAAAACAACCTCTTCCAGTACAACTTTTGAGGTAGGCTTGAATTTGATTGTTTAGAGCCTCGGCTCTATATAAACTTTTCCCATGTTTTAAAGGTTGAGTTCCGAGTCATGCACAACCCCAAAAAGTCAAAAAAATAAAAAGATTGTAAAAATAGAAAAGGCTAAAAATCAGAAAAAATTGAAAGGGGTAATAGACATCATTAGAAGACTGAAGAAGATAAAAAAGATATATAAAAAATTGATTTTTGAAAATTTTGAAATATGGGCTTCGTACCTTGAATATTTTAGAAAATTTTAAAAAAGGAAAAACTATGAAAGTCCCCAAATCATCTTAAAAACTATCAAAATCATCTAAAAACATAGTTCTAACAAATATATTGGTGTTTTCAATTTTTTTAAAATTTTAATTATCCTTTTTTATTTTTTATCAGTTTTTTGATGGTCGGCGAGTTGGGCACCCAACTCTCCCCGCCAATAGGGTGAGGCCGAGTTACGCGGCCAAGTTGAGTGGACTCTGCCGAGTCCAAAAACACTGGTCTATGCATGACCCTCATTTCTCCCGCCGCTGATCTTCCTCTTGCCTGAAACTACATACCTTTCAACATTGACTTGCATTGCTTTATGTTTGGCTCAGTGTTGAAACACTCACTTGAATTCGCATGGTCACTGATTATTTGCCAAGCCCAAAACCATGCATATGGGAACTGATAGGGTTTGGCCAAGTCTGTCAGAGATTTGGCTTACCTGACTCGGGCTCGGATTTTAGTGAGATTCTTGACCCCGGCCCTTGTTTTGTTACACTGTTGGCTTTGTAAGAATTGCTTGCTTTTGTATGGGTTATGAACATGCTGTACAATGAAACTAGCCATTTCTACTGCCTCTACTAGAGATCTTATGTTAGGAGGATAACGATTGACACCTTGATTCTTGCCTTAATGGTGATCACCTTCCACCTTGGGGATTTTATTGCTCTATTGCTGAGGACCATGACAATCTCCCTAGCATTCTTTGGTTCATTTCTTTTTTTGTTTTGCTTCTCCACATAAGCTCATCCACGTTTCTATCAGCTAGTGCTATGCTCCCTAGTAATTGTTTAGAAGATGGTCTCCCCAACATTCTTCAACTCTTTGTTATTTTTCCCTTGCCTTCTTGACTGGCTACATCCGTCCCATTTAGCAAAACAGCTGAGAGGTCCATTCCAAGTGTTAGGGATTCAATTCGTTATTCATTCATGACTGTGGACGTGATCAAAATTTGCTGATCCTAGAGACATTTGGATTGTGAAATTTAGTGAGCAGTACCCTCCCAGAAAATTAATATATCTAAACTAAAGTATTCTTGCTGGATATGCCCAGGGCTACCTCCTGCCTTTGACAACCTTCCTTGGAACCACATATGAGGTCAAAGGTTAAAAGGGTTCAAATCATATTCATCTGTCTATATGTAGTGGGGTGAATATCTCTTAGTTGATCTAATATGCTGAAAATGTAACCGTAGGATCTTTGTCTTGATGGTGCATTTATTTCTTTTTCATGATTTGAATTTACTTTTTGGGGGATTTGTTTATTTCTCTTGGGTTTCGATGATGAATCTTGGGTTCCTGCAGTTTTTTGTTGGTGTTTATTATCTGCTGTCAAGATGTCGCGTAAAGGGTTGATGGAGCAGGACCTTAGTAAGCTTGATGTGACAAAATTGCATCCTCTCTCTCCAGAAGTCATATCTCGTCAAGCTACAATTAATATTGGTAAGTTTCTCTCCTCTTTTCTACATTAGCAGGTCCATGTTGTTGGTTTAACTTCTGTGCTTATGCAATCTTTGGTATTTGCAAATGATTATAAAAAATCTACCAGTATTTGGAGCATTACTTTCATCATGACTCTTACAGTTTATTTTTGGAGAACATACACCATATTGGAGCCTGTTTACATGTGTCATGGAAATGATCATCATGAATGGTTGGGTTGGTAAGAGAAAATGTTTGCAACAATCATGTTTGATGCATGCACATGAATAGGGATGTGGTCAAGAATATATTTTTTATTCTTATTTTATTAGAACATGGTTATGCCATGTAGTAATAGAAAAGGCAAATGATTGCGCATTGTAGGGGATGATTATTGTACTAATGATCAATTGATTTGATTGCGTGTTGTAGGGGATGATTGTTGTACTAATGATCAATAGATGTTTAAAATGCAAACCTGTGAAAATCTTTTCCATAAAAAGAAAATTTGATGAACATTAGAGTGGCTTGCAACAATAAAGGAACCTTTTTCTATGACTAAAACATGAAACATGATTATTTCATAATCACTAGTCAATCCTTAGTTCTAATTCAAGCTATAGGAACTTGTACCAACTTTTGTGACGATCATATTGTTATTGTTGGCTGTGTATGTTTCTCTATGTTTGTTTATCGGCTAATTTTGTAAAACTCAAGTGTATCAGGAAAAGATCTTTGCAATCTGATACTTGAGCAGTTATTCTTTTGCTTATTTTGAGTGGAAGATTGTGAAATATTTTATTTTAATTCTAGTGTGGATCCTGGCCAACAATCATTTTGGATAACCCCAAGAACTCCGTAACAAGTAAATTATAGTAGTGCGCGTTTGGAATAAGCAATTGTCTCCCCTGTTATTGAGATGTTATATTCATTTCCCAGCTGCTTATAAACTGCTTAAAACTTAGTGCATCAGAAAAATATTTTTGCAATCTGATACTTGAGCAGTAATTCTTTTGCTTATTTTGAACTGATGATTGTGAAATATTTTATTTTAATGCTAGTGTGGATCCTGACCAACAATCGTTTTGGATAACCCCAAGAACTCCATAAATATGCAAGTAAATTATAGTAGTGCGTGTTTGGAATAAGCAATAGTCTCTCCTGTTATTGAGATGCTATATTCATTTCCCACCTGCTTATAAACTGCTTGATTTGCTTATGATAGCTTTGTATGTGGATTAAATTGGTGTTCCACAGTATTTTGTTTATTATTTTTATATTTGTGGTATTTTGTATGATGCAGCCATTTTGTCTTGAAGAATTTATTAGATGGATTAATTCTAAGTATTTGTTCAGGTACAATTGGTCATGTGGCACATGGGAAATCAACTGTTGTTAAAGCAATATCTGGAGTTCAGGCAATTCTCTTTTCTTTTGTGATTCCTCATTCAAATGAATGGCTGCATGATTTAGTGGCTTTTTCTTTCTGAAATTGTGAAGTATTGAGTATGAATGGTTATGTTTGTAGTAGTCACATTATGTTTGTACTAGTATTTTTTTCAATAGATTTATATAGCCAAACGATTCTTGAGTTTGTCAGACTAGGCTGTCCGCCAATGTTTCCACACAAATGGTTGCTACTCCTAGCTAATTGCTTATATCACCGCTAGAAAAATTGCTTATGTTATTTGTTTTTTTTACTGGCTCTCTGCACCTTGCAATCTGAATGGTCTTCAGTTAGGTTACAAATTTTTTTACTTTTTAATTTTAATTGTTATTATCATGATTGACTTAGTGCTGATTAAAGAAGGATTTTAAGATAGCCATTATGGATATACTGTTATAAATGATTGAGGTTAAGTGAGTTTATGGGGGGTTTGGATTGCTTGGTTGGGAGAAACATTGCGAATGTTTGACTTTCATTTGGGTGGACTTATTGGGGTGCATATTTATTTTATATTGGGATGGTGTTGAGCTTGCTTACATGCACATACTTACAACACCTTGCTTATGTCCTCTTGTTTTGGATTAGCGTTTAAGGCCCATATTACAATGGGCTTGATCCTAAGTCCTTGCTGACCCAAGAAAATATTTGGTAATGAAACAAGTGTTCAAACCATTGATTAGAGCATCATAATGCAAGTAATAAGATGAAAGCAGGTGTATTTAGAGGGTGGGATGACATTATTTTTCGAAGGTGGTATCTCTCATAATTGCAACCTGGAGTTGGGCTTGCTGGAGCTGTATTGTAGTTATATACTTATATACATGACACTGATTGCTCGAGATTATGGAACGTTGATTTCCATGTTCTACTGTGGCCTTCTTTTACCTGTGTTTATTGATCAATGACTCACCAGTCATGCATTCTTGGGACTTCCCTTTTAGATTTGGGAAAGTTAAGGTGAATAATTTGTTTGGAAAGTTGCCTACCTTTTTCTGTGCAGCCCAAATGACCACAACTTCGAGATCCTGCCAATCTCGAGATTTGAGGGTAACCTGTTAATTACTATCTGCATCTTGAGGTTATATAGGGATCCAAGGGTTATGGGTCTTGTCCTATGAAGAAAACGTAGGTGACTTTCTACTTAATCATTCCTCCATATTATACTCTATTTTACTGCAGAAAACCATATTCTATTAGAGTGGGAGCGCCAATGGAATGATGATGGACAGTGATACACAGTGGGAACCACCAGAGGACATAGCCCCAATGGTGGGCCCCACTCTTTCTCTATAGCTCTGTCAATCATTTCTTTAGACGGTGATGATTCCATAGGAGTATCATCATCCGCATTCCATCGGATTGTGCTTTCCCTTTCTGATCGATGCATTTGAATCTTTATGCCCTGTTTTATTTTTGCGAAGATTGTGTTTATGAATAAAAGGGGTGTTTTTTATGCTAACTTTTGATTAGTAATACCTTCATACTAAAGCACCACTCTTTGGGTTCTTTCTATTGGATTTTGCACTGCATCCTGCCATACCGCCAATATTCTAATTTGTAATAAGATTACCAGTCTAGCTTTATTTTGGATCTAAGTTCTCTTTCCTTTGCTATCAGTTCTTTTGACCCCATGTTTCTTATAAGTTGCACCATGATGAATTTGCAGTCTTATTTTTGATATGGAATATTTTGGTTGCTCATATTTGATAAAGCTACCTCTTCTGGCCCCTATTTTCAAGTTATGTTTCTGAAAATTTGATTCTGATAAAAATTTGGTATGCCTGATTTTTTTACTTTTTAACTGTGTACAGACTGTTCGTTTCAAAAATGAATTGGAGCGTAATATCACTATTAAGCTGGGCTATGCAAATGCCAAGATATACAAGTGTGAGGATGAACGATGCCCTAGACCAATGTGCTACAAGTATGCTACTCATGGGTAACTTTGTGAATTTGGCAACTCCTTTGTTTGTGGGTAATTTTATGTTCTTTTGTGTGTGACTATTTCCATGTAACGTGCAGAGCATATGGAAGTGGAAAGGAAGATACCCCCTTGTGTGACGTTCCTGGATTTGAAAATGCTAGGATGAAACTCTTAAGGCATGTTTCCTTTGTGGACTGCCCGGTGAGCTCTCTCTTTTCTTTATTAGCGTGAATTTCTTTACAAATCTATGTTTTCTGGTTATGACTTTTTCTGGGATACCTCGTGTTAACGTGGAGAGGAAAGATCTCGTGAAAAGAAGAGACTCCTTTTGGGTTACGTTGTATTATTGTAGATATGACATTCAGATGAAAATGATGTATTTTTATTCAATTGTTCTAGGTTTGCATCTTGCATAAAACCAGAATTTTACCTGAATGATTGAGTAGCTTTTCCTTTAAAAATCCCTTCTGACTGTTTCTAAAAAATCATGCAAAATATACTTCTGCCAACTTCTGGAAGTGCATTAGAATTTTCTTTATGTTCTACTCTGTGCTTTCTCTTCCAATATTTTGGTTTCTTGCTCCTCCAAAAGTTGGATATCTGAAAGTGACACATGTACCTTTTTAAATCCAGAGGGTCTTCTTTGTTTGAGAGTAGGCGTCTTCGTTAAAATCCCTTCTAGGTGTTATAGATTTTGCAGCTATCATAGATTGTGGCTTATGCATTCTCATATTCATTGTTTGAGATGTAAGTGGGGGGGCCGAAAGTGGGCTAGTGTACGTCATCTGCAATGCTATTGTGGCATCTTGAGCAAGTATTTGACATTTTCCTCTGTCAAATGGTTGAACTCTACACCCCACCGCTGGAAGGGAGAGAGGAATTCATAATGGCTAAAGACCGAAGGAGGGTGGAAGGATGTGATAGTATTAAAAAGTAGCGTTACATCAATGATGATGAAGTGTCGAGTGCTGAGGTTTTACTATAGGGAATGTGATAATAAAATATGGTGGAGTAGTAGTTTTTGAGGCAGAAAGTGTATACGGATGGTAGGGTTTATAAAGAAATCCATCAGGGAGGGAGGGAGGATTTGGTTGTAGAATAAATTAGTTGAGAGCAGCACCTTATCTGTGACAGGTGTATAAGGATGGTCGTCGAGAGATGATATAAAACAGAGCCATGTGGGAGAGGGACTGATTGGGTTGTAAAATATTGCTGAGAATAGCTCCACGTTGGTGAGGTTGAAAGTATGGATGGTGGAAGTTGTAAAACAAAACTGATAATATTTAATGTAAAGTAAGAGAGAATAATCATGTATTTATTAGGTGAAAAAGAGAGAAAACTAAAAAGATGATTAAGCCATGGCCTGTAGTTTAAGGTGCAGACCTTCTTATGCTTGCTTTGGTAAAGTTATAGTTATCTGCCGAAGGATTTAAGGATTCTAGGCTTTCATAATAACGATTTGTACCTCTTTCATACATATGGCGAATTATGGCAGTTTCCCATTCTTTGTTCACAATCATTACTTAGGAGTTTAATTGCCTGGTGGTGCAGGTTGGTTGAGGCAAGGGATAGTTGCTAATGTGCTTTATGCCGATGATACTCTGCACTCTTCCTGTTGCTGGTGCTTCTGCAACCCAGTCAGATAACCCAATTCTATGCTTGATGTCGAGGCAAAAGGGAAAGGACTTCAATATTGGATGTTGGTGAAAATTGAGTTATCGAGAGACTTCATCAGTTGGTTGCGTTATAGGTCTGGCTCACTTTAAAATTCAGGACTCTGTGGCATGCACCATGCATGGCCATGCCACAGAAGCTGTGACGAATGGATACTTGTACATGCTTAACGTGCCGGTGTTGTATCATGTCAATGACGATATGGCATGCTCATAGGATACTTCTAAATATAAAATGACATCACTTTAAGTAATATAATGTGAACAAAATACAGTAGTCTGCATTATGTCATGGGGTGTGTGTGTGTGTGTGGGGTTTGTGGTTGTGAAGGATAACATTTACAAATGCCCATGAGTGAATATCTATAATACTTCACCCATGGCTCATCACAATTCAAAGCCTATCAAATTGTCACGATTATCCAATAGTGTTTGAATCTTAATATTTTTTTTTACAAATTAGATATATCTGAAATTTGGGGCATGTGTACGCCTAACCATTTCACACTAAAATAAATATAGAAATAATTATCAAAAAATATAAAATTACCAGTAGATAATGTTTACAAACGCCAATGAGTGAATTTCTACAGTACTTCAGTCATAGCTCATCACCATCCAAAGTCCATTAGGCAGCCACGATTATCCAATAGTATTTGAATTTTAATATTTTTTCTACAAATTGGATTTATATGAAATTTAGGGCGTGTGTGTGCCTAACCATTTCCCCCAAAAATAAAATATAAAAAATATCACAAAATAAAATTACCAAAATATCCATGAACTATGCATAGTGGTAATTTGGTGTCACTTTTGTTACTTGAATTATTCTTTATATTTTATTTTGGTGTGCCTCACTGAGTCATGGACACCCTTGTAATTTGAGGTTAATCCGATTTGTAAATAAATGCTAAAAATTCAAACGCCATAAGATATTCATGGTTGTCTGATGGACTTTGGATGGTGATGAGTCATGAGCGAAATACTGTAGAAATTCACTTGTGGGTGTTTTTAAGTGTTTTCCATATATAAATGTGTGTGCCTGAGTGCATGTGCGTGTGTGTGTATGTGTACCGAATTGTTGGTTACATGTATTTGTGTATTGTACTAGGTATGATATATTTTGTAAGTGTGTTAGCTAGAATGCTTGTATTTGTTTCCCTGTGAAGGATTGCAAAAAATGCTGTCACACCCTCATTCTCCTTATCCATGCCTGTATCTGGGCATCTTAGCTAAGAAGTGCTGTGGAAACTGTTAAGCGAATGTGAATGTTTTGAAGCTTCAATGGAAGAAACAATATCTTTGGGAGGTTGCATCACACTTTATCTCATTTAGTTGTTCCATATCACTTCTTAAGTGGGAACTTGAAGTGGCTTTGACAATGTTTTCATTTGGAGTGTGGATGATAGAGGTCTTGGACACATTTAGTTCAGTTAAGCAAGTTTTGAATCGCTAAGAAGTTTGGGATTTCGTGTCATGGGTTTAAGAGAAGTGAAAAGGCCTTTATTGGGGATGTGGCATTGGAGGCTTTAGGAGTTGTGGAGTCTGTGGTGTGGGGAATGGTATGGAATGAACATGGTGTGGTAATATTTTAAGCTAGATGTTAGCTGAAGGATTACTGGCTTGATGGTGTATTCTGAATCTTGGATTCTAGAGGTGTAGTGCAATTATTATGGTGTTAGGGCTTTGGTGTTTTGGCTTGGCAAAAAGTCAAGTTGGATTGCATCCTCTACTGGCATTCTTAATCTATTCAGTTTTATTAAAACGAAATAATTTCATCGAAGTTTATTTTGTTCATCTCTCTAGAGAACTTTTACTTACTAGATTATGTGTTTGTCTTAAAGAATATATTTAGAAAACTATAAAGTATCAATGGTGATTATGCCTTGTGCTTATTTATATACTACAGGGAACATATAAAAATAATTCCCTGTAACTCCTCCACAAATCTTGTGGGTGCTTCATATACTTAGTAATATCAAAATCATGCTTGGACCCGTCATTTTTCTAGATGAGTATTTTATCCTTGTTAATCTTACTAAAATATTCTTGCTTATCCTATCAGAGTGAGTAAAATTGTCAGTTTGAAAATCCAGCACTGTGTTCAGAGATCATACTTGTGGAGAACCTTAGGGTTTATGTGGTGTTCTAGTCATTGTTCCAATTTTTCCCTTTAAACTATTTTTTTTAACAATTCGGGACTATTGTTTTTGCATGTAAACAAAAATTGACAACTTTCCCATTCATGACTGATGAATTGTATTTTTTGATTGTCTGGGTATCATTTGTTTATGCATTTGAAGAGCGTCAACATTTATTTTATTTGGCAGGGTCATGATATTCTTATGGCCACCATGCTCAATGGAGCAGCCATCATGGATGGTGCATTGCTTTTGATTGCTGCCAATGAAAGCTGCCCCCAGCCTCAGACCTCTGAGCATCTTGCAGCCGTTGAAATTATGCGACTCCAACATATTATCATTCTACAAAATAAAATTGATTTAATCCAAGAGAGTGTTGCCATCAACCAGCATGATGCAATCCAGAAGTTTATCCAGGTAAGCGTGTCTTTAAATTTGACTCATCAGAGCTTCTTTCCTTAGAAATTGGAACTAGGTTTTATTTTCTTTGATGAATTGAAGTAACTTATCTGTTTTCCTTTTTTAATTAAGTTTTTTAAAAGTCCCTCTCAGTTCAGCAAAGTTTGCTACAGATACTGGTGGTTTTGTTACATGGATTTATGGGGGGACAATTAATAGTGAAATATTTTTTTTTGAAAAAGTCGAACTGTTGTATTGATTGGTGAAGTGTACAAAAAATTTGGCGATCCACAGTTTGGGTGCTCGAGTCCATAAACCCCTTACGGGGTCCAAAAGATGCTTTACAGCCCTTATAAACAACCAAAAAATACGATCGATAAAGCTTTACAAAAAACTGTGCCTGGGTGTTCAAAAAGTGCCCGAAAGAGTTCCAAGCAATGTGAATTGGGAAGCTCCCTCCTTAGCGAGTGTGTTGGCTACTGTGTTTGCTTCCCTCCAAGTATGCCTCCATACAACGTGCATATACCTGCAAAGGTGGAATATTTCATCAAAAAAGTGGTCCAATCTCCATGGACAGGGGGAAGATATAGAAGCTCATGCGATAACATTTTTGGAATCACCTACAACCATTAGTCAAATGATCCATGCTGACCTATGCACACAGTACTTTGCTGATCTATGCGGTGGGGCCACTTATTTTACTCAATTTTTTTTTTTTTGGAATCACCTTCTACAATCAGAGTGGGACCCCAGGTAAGATTAAAATTTCTGAGACCGAAAAGGAGAGCTGAGGCCTCAGCAGTATTAGAGTCGGAAATCCCGATAGGACGGGAGTATGAGAACAAGTACAGTCTTCCATATCTCGGGAAATTCCCCCTATGCTTGAGGGGCCAGGCCTGCGAAGAGAGCAACCATTGAAGTTGAGCTTGGATCAGCCATGCTCCGGTGGTCTCCACAAGGAGGCTCGAGTGATTTGGGTAGAGAGATAGGACAACAAAGCCAGCCAGATCTGATGGAAGACAGCAAGAGAGCAATGCTGGAAGTGTTTGTTGTTTTTTGCCCAAAAAATGACCGTGGATCTGAGCTTGTCTATCATCACCTCCAAATGAGCCTTCTCACCACGAAAGATCCTGTTATTTCTCTCCAACCGGATCACTCAAAGGGTGGCAACCACTGCAGCTTTCCACAGAATGTTGACAGATTTTGGCCACTCGCAGTGAATAAAGTGATGCTTGTTGGTCTCTTCGTCATTGGTACACATAGTGCATCTGTTTGGGTCTGCAACCCCCTCCTTTGTTGTTGGTCGACTGTTGGAGCTCGTTTGGAGATAGCAATCCAGGAAAGCATCTGGACCTTGGGGGGCATTAAGGGGTTCCAAGCTTTACCCACTGCTGACTGATGAGAAGGTGGCTGAGAGGAGTGTCTCAGGAGGGGGTGATAGAAATAGGACACTGAGAAGGTGCCCGAGTGAGCTGGGGACCAGATGAGCTTATTGGGTCCCATGGAGCGGGACAAAGGTTGAGTGGAGAGCGAGCTGCAATTTGAGGAAGCTTGGTACCTCTTGGTCATTCAATGGCCTCCGAAAATTTGGATTCCACACCCTACTGGAATCCGAGGTTTCGGGATTGTCCACGATGATGACCTGGGGATCCCTAGCCAAAAGGAAGAGTAAGGGGAAGCGATCCCTCAAGGGTGTATGACCAATCCACAGATCTGACCAAAAGGAGACTCTATCTCAGGCTCTCGGCCGAAAGCGAATGTTGAAGACATCGAAAGAAGCTTCTCCATAAACCAGAGGAGTTGTGTGTGCCCTACTGGTGGGAATCCAAGCTGAATTCGAGCAGTGGTACTTAGATTGAACGACATCTAGCCAGAGGTGGTTTTCCTGGGTTGCAAAGTGCCACCACCATTTGCCAAGGAGGGCGAGGTTGTGGTCTTCAAGCCTGCTTATGTCCAGGCCCCTTGACCAAAGGAAGTTCCGCTTAAGTTGTTCTCGGTGGTGGTGCGGGCATGTGAAAAGGGACATTTGGAAAACGGGAATGTTGGAAAGCGTAGCCTTGATTGGAGTTGGGCTACTAGCTGATGATCCTTGATTAGAGTTAGGCTACCAGCTGATGATAGGAATCTACCTTTCCATCCCACGAGTCGCCTATCGAATTTATCTATAATGGCTCCACTGGTTCAGTTTAGGTTTGCCTAAGCACAGGGGTAGGCCCAAGTAAAACAGAAGCCAAGGCAGCTACTTTGCACCCCTATCAATGGGTGAGGTTAGAGATCACTGAATCGTTGACAACAATCCCCATCATCTTTGTCTTCTCCAAGTTAAGTCTGAAACTAGTGGCCATTTCAAAGCATTTTAGGAAGAGGAGAAGGAGGTCGACTTGTATCGTGGAATCGCAAAAAACCAGAGTATCGTCAGCATATTGTGAGTGGGAAGTCTCAGGGCCTCTGAATGCTGACTTGGAAACCCTGAAGAAGACCACTACGATACAAACCAGTTAAGGACCTGCTAAACACCTCTGCCACAATGGCAAAGAGAAAGGGTGAGAGAGGATCTCCTTGTCTGAGGCCTCTTGAAAAGGAGAAAACGCCCCTAGGGAAGCCATTGTTGAGGATGGAAAAGTAAGGATTTGAGATGCACCCACGGATCCAAGAACGCCACCGGGGCCCGAAGCCCATCCTAAGGAAGGTCTTGTCCAAGATGGCCTAATCAATGTTGTCGTAAGCCTCTTCCCAATCAAGTTTGAAGACTACACCGGGAACTTTGTTTCGGTGTCTAGAGTGGATACATTCATGGGCTACTAAGGCACCATCAAGAATTTACCTATCCTTGATGAAGGCTCCCTGGGTAGGAGAAATGATCCACCTGAGTACTTCATGCGGCCTGGATGCTAAGACCTTGGCCCGGATTTTGTATGGAGTATTGATAAGACTGATGGGGCAAAAGTCCTTTAGCTCCTGGGCACCTTCGACTTTGGGGATAAGGGCGATGAAGGTAGCATTCATGGATTTGTTGATGATGCCCTGGTGATAGAAATATTCAAAGAAAGCCAACATGTCAAGGCGAATGGGTTCCCAAAACTATTTGAATAGGGCGGCCACTGGCTAGCTGTCAGGACCAGGGGCACGGTCCTGACCAAGGTCCTTAATGGCAGTTAGGCCTTCTCCTTCTGAGAAGGGGCGTTCAAGCCACTCCGAGAGGTCGGAAGGGATGATGTGGAAGGCTAGAGAGGCCATCCTGGGTCTTGGGCCAGAGGGGGCCTTGAAGAGCTTCTTTACGAACTCAATGATGGTTCAATCTTACAGGCAGTGTCAAAGACCTGGGCACCAACTCTAATAAGGGAAATGGTGTTATTGAACCTTCGATTGTTAGCAATTTTGTGAAAAAAACCAGTGTTTAGGTAACCGTGGCTGAGCCATTTGACCTTGGAGCATTGAGACCAAATCCTCTCTACTGAGGAGGCTAAGATCGGAGAGCTTAGCTTGGGATCTCAAATCGTGTTCGACCGAAGAAAGGGGTTTGCTCTCCTCTAAAGAATCTTGGGATTGAATCAAGTTGAGCAAGGTGAGTTTTTGTTCTCAGAAATTACTGGGAATGTGCCTACTCCAGTCTTTAAGAGCGGCCTTTAGGAGCTGTAGTTTTCCTTTGAAGACGGAAACCAGCCCATCCTCGTGCTTGCTGTGCAAAGGAGGACCACCAGGAGGGGAGGAGGGAAAACAAATCTGGCTCCTCAAGCCCGGCCAATTTGAAGCGGAAACGTTTAGGACCCCTTTGGATAGGTAATGTGTCCAGCAAGATGAGACGATGGTCTGAGATAGGCTTAGAGAGGGCCAAGTGTTGGTGTGGGGAAAGGAGGAGTCCTAAGCAATAGATATAAGGTACCTATCCAATTTCAACAGGGCAGGGTGGAGGAGTGATCAGACCAAGTAAACTGGGCCCCTTGGAGTGGGAGATCCAGTAGATTGTTACGGGATACAAAGTCGAAGAACTCCAGCATGGCCAGGGAGACGAAAGAATTGGAGTTGCGCTTGAATGACCACTTAGTAACATTAAAATCGCTTCTAATACGCCAGCTAGGGAGAGCCAGGGAGGCCAAAGATTGGAGCTCCTTCCAAAAGCTGGCTCGATGAAAGTGGGGATTAAGCCCATAAACAGCCATGAAGAACCATGGGAGGCTGTTGGAGATCCTAGTCAGAAACCGAGAAACACCAATGTTGGAAGAGGAGAGAACGTGTAGGGTCGCGTCCCAGATGACCCATATCCCATCTAAGGCGCCACTAGCCTCCAAGACGGCCCACTGGCATGGTCTAGAGCCCTACACCTGGCAAATGAGGGCTAGGGAAGGAGAAGAGGAACCCTTCATGGAGAATATATAAATTATGTGAAATAACCTTAAAAAAAGGTGTGACATAACAAAGGATGCACTTCAAAGTATGAGTTAAAGTTTCCTTTCTTGTTCAGGGTTCTGTGGGATATTACATTTTTTATCATTTTTATTCCTAGCTAAGATATTAATGACTGCTTTGGTGAAGGCAAATATATTTTCAAAAAATGGGGGCAATATTTTTATAAACTAAGGAGGTTGATTGAGAAAACAGAAAATTGGAACAGCGCACACTTCGAACTCTAGTGGCATGACTACTAATAAATGGAGATATAGAACTGAAAGTGACATGGAATTAATTTATTTTTAGTTGGTATATTTTTATTATGTAAATAGCATAATTGCTTATCCAACACACCTAGAGATGTATATTAAGATGTATATATATAATAATGATATATGTATCCACTTGCGGGTGTAGGTATGTTAGTATGTATATGTCTGAGCTTGCATGAGGAGGTAAAGAGGGAGGATTTAACTCTACTTCTACACTTTTGAGGCTGACTTTGCATTTTTTTTCATGCAGCAAACAATTGCTGATGGAGCTCCGGTTGTTCCAATTTCTGCACAATTGAAGTATAATATTGACGTAGTGTGCGAATACCTTGTACATAAAATACCAGTTCCAGAAAGAAACTTCGTTGCACCACCCAACATGATAGTGATCCGCTCTTTTGACGTGAATAAACCTGGTTCTGAGGTAGAGGAGATAAAGGGTGGTGTTGCAGGTGGAAGTATTTTGAGCGTATGTTTCTTACCGTTCTTGTTTTTCAACTCGTAGAAATGATTTGCATGGCCATCATGGTAACTTTTTAATTTTTTGAAAGTTGTAATTGCTGTAGCCAATAAAAAATGAGTTGGTATAATTTTTTGAACCTGTGATGATTTGATATTGGCTGAAACGGTGATTCATTTCAATTAATTGTCTGCGCAATCTGACTAGTGGTTGTGTGTAAAAGGGGATTTTAAATTTTTCTTGACTTCTCCCGCTCTCTTTATTATCACCTTTATTGCTCTCTCTCTCTCTCTCTCTCTCGCAGACACACACGGGGACAGGTCTTAAAGCTGTCTTTACAATGATATCTCTCTCTCTGTCTCTCTCTTGCGTTGTAAAGCCTTCTTGACCTTTGTGGAAATCTCTCTAAGTTTCATAGTGGTTTTCTATTTTTGTGCAGGGTGTGCTGAGGGTAAATCAGAAGATTGAAGTTCGGCCTGGGATCGTTGTGAAAGATGAGAATGGAAACATGAAATGTACCCCAATTTATTCAAGGATAGTCTCCTTATTTGCCGAGCAAAACGAGCTTCAGTTTGCAGTTCCAGGAGGTCTTATTGGAGTAGGTACTACAATGGATCCCACCCTGACCCGTGCTGATCGTCTCGTGGGTCAGGTGCTGGGAGAGGTTGGGTCACTCCCTGATGTCTTTGTTGAGCTCGAGGTAAGCCATCACTTGCTCTTTTTATCCATGTCTTTCTGGCCTAAGTCTCAATAAATGATATCCAAGTAAGAAATATATGAAAAATAGAAATCCAAAGAGGCTAGATACGCTTCATTAACCTTCATATATTGTGAAATTTGTTATCCTTTTCTGAATTTTTTAAATATATATCAATAGAAGCAAAACCCGTTTTTTATATCAAGTACCCAGACTTTGTGTTGCACGGTATTTCTGCAAACAGGGATTTTCCATCTTTTAAAAATGTAGCTGTAGAGCACGAAGATTTTAGTGTGGTTGATAAGCATCTAATGCTTGTCATGGCATAGTTGATGCATTGCATGCTAATTCCTCTGTATGCTGCCTTCAAAAGTCTCTCTCGGCAAATTACCCCATAAGCCCATTCAGAAATGATTAGCATGCGAGCATTGGGTTGATTAATGTCCAACTAATGAATCAGGAACTGGTAACCTTGCTGGTTCTGGAACAGCAAGACTTGGATGATCCGATTTTGATCCTAGTCTGTCTGAGTCTTAAAAGAATCTTGTGAGTGTATTTTTCGAAAAATTGCTGTTTTCAAAGAGCAAGATTCTTAGATTCAAGTGGGGACTCACCGAGCCAACTCGCCCACCCCAGGCAGTGGCCAAATTCTGGTGCGTGTCCAACATTTCAAAACATTGCATGATCTTATAAAGTGAAGAAGGTTGAGAGAGAGAGAGGTTCATCCTGAGTTATGTTGAGCAGGTCAACTTCTTCCTCCTCCGCCGCCTTCTTGGTGTGAGGACAAAGGGCACAGAGAAGCAAGGGAAGGTGTCAAAGTTGGCCAAGGCAGAGATACTCATGCTAAATATAGGTTCCATGTCGACTGGTGCAAAGGTGTTGGCTGTGAAGAATGATTTAGCAAAGCTTCAGCTGACATCACCTGTTTGCACGAGTAAAGGAGAGAAGGTGGCTTTGAGTAGGCGAATCGAGAAGCATTGGCGCCTTATTGGATGGGGTCAGATTCAGGCTGGAGCCACACTAGATGTTCCCCCTTGCCCCATATAGAGACAGAAAACAAGGTAAAGAAGACCGCAACTTAGAGAAGCCGGGAGAGTTCAGTGTGAGATAGAGAGCAATGTGGGTTGGGAGAGAACTTTTAGGGACTGTTTTTGTCAGATGGAGAAGAAAACCTAAGAACTAGCTTAAGTTATTGATTTTGGTTTTGAGGATTTTTGACTGATTTGAGATTTGATTTTAACATGGGAATGCCCTACTTGTTTTCACATATTTTTCTTACAATTCATTGTACTTCTGTGTTTATGTGATTTTTTTTCATGTGTGATTTTTTTTCATGTGATAAGGACTTCATAGTTTCCGGCTCATGATGCACCAATGACATGACACCAACGTCAGATACTTCAAAATAATATTCTAAAAGATTGCGATCCAGATAAAAATTTGTCAGATTCTCAGTTGAATCAGCAATTTGTTAATTATATAATAAATAGGTGCAATTTATAGTCAAAAGATTTCCCTATAAGAGATGCTTTTGCTGGATTTATTAAACCTACAGGAGATGTAGAATTTTGATTATGAGCCTATAAACCTACAGGACATAACCCATGTTGGTATGAACTGCGAGTAAAGAAACCTGTTTCGCATGAGACGAGAGCCATAGAAGGCATGAATCGCACGCATAGCTAACTCTCCGTTTAAATTATGATGTTTTCAATTTTTTATTTTTATTTTTTGAAATCTATTAAGAACTTTGAGTTTTCAAAATATCTTCAAAAAATCGTGTTTATTTAATTGAAACCGATATAAACTTGTAATTTATCTTTTTGTAAAAAATATTTTCAAAAAAATTTCTTCTCTATTACTTTATTTCGTCATTAATTTAATATTATTGAATTTTAATTTAAAGACACATTAACGTTTGGATTAAATTAAGAATCACACCTTAAAGTAAAATACCATAAAAACTATCACCCATAAATTCCCTTAAAAAAAGTGTATACTAAATGTACATGCAATACATTCATCAAAAAATAAGACACCAGAACAATCGTATATATCAAAATAATAGGCAGGGTTGGAAGAGTAACCCAATAAAAAATCTTTTTTTTTAAGAAAAAAATTGGAGCATTTTTATTGGGTGTGGTTTTTATAGAGCTTGGGCTCTAAACAATTCAATTAGAGCCTACCTTCAAATTGTGTCGAGGAATGTGGTTTCAATATTGGAAATCATTTTGATAACCTTAAAATATATTTTCATATTTATTAATAAAGTTTAAAGCTTCAAAATAGTGCAGATAGAGATATCTATGAAAACTTTAAAATCTTTAAAATTGACGATCCAAAAATGCGTTACAAAATACATCATTTCCAAAACTTGAAATCTATTTTTTTCTCATGGCCATGCATCTTGATGTTGAGATGATCAATTTAAAGATATTTGAGAATGAAAACAACCTCTTCTAGTGAATGTTTTGAGGTATGCTTGAATTTGATTGATTAGAGCCTTGGCTCTATATAAACTTTTCTTTTTTTATAAAGAGCAAGAGATATATTCAAAGATACTAAAGATTTAGGCAGCTAAGAATTTAATGTGAGATTTGAATTTGCTCAAGTATTTTGTTGTTTTCTTTATGCATATAGAAATTTGATTAATTGCATATTTTAAAAAGTTATCTTTTTGTTTTATTGATGTATGCAACATAGCATTTTGGATGGACCACTCTTTTTTTGTGGGAAAATAGATGGACCACTCTTTTACATATTTGGATCTTCGTGTTTGGCTTTATTTAATTGCAATACTTGAGTGATTTCTTTGCCTTTTTTTTTTCTCTTTGAACAATAATCCTATACCTTGGTTTATAGTTCTTGTTATTTAATAAGGGAAAATTATAAAAAAACACCTTAAAATAAACTATCTATGCAACTTACCCTCACCACAATCTTTTCTGTCACTTTTTCCCCCAAAACAATCTTTCCTCGTAAATAACCCCCCAACCCAAAGGTAGCATGAAATAAGACTAAACTACCCTTATTTGTTTTCACACGGCCTTTTCTCCCCTGTTTTCACACGCGCTACGGCATTCTGAATGTACGCTCCGGCAATGCAGGTCTGAGCCACAGCGCTCCGACATTATGAGAAATCGCTCCGGTAGTGCAAAGACGAGCTCCGGTAATGAAGTCTCTAGAGCAACAACGCTCTGGCAATGGAGGACTGCGCTCTGGTAGTATAAACAAGTGCTCTGGCAATGGAGGACTGCGCTCTGGTAGTATAAACAAGTGCTCTGGCATTTTGAATGTGCACTACGACAATGCATGTCTGAGCCACAACGCTCCGGCAGTGCAAAGACACGCTCCGGCAGTGAAAAGATGCGCTCCGGCAGTACGCTACTTGGGCCTCGTGAATTAATTTGGTTTATATGGGAAGGCATTTCCATCCAAAAAATAACAAATTTTTAGTTTGGAGTTTTTAGCGATGAAATGTTGTTTTGGAGAAAAAAGTGAGAAAAAATTTGGGTGGGGGTAAGTTGCATACGTAGTACATTTTAGGGTGTTTTTTGTAATTGTTCCATTTAATATTGTAGTTCTTGTGTTTAAGTATTATTATTGTTGTTTCATTTCATGCTCCCAATAAATTTGTGATATATTTCATATTGTGACAACAAAGTAAGCATTGTTGTTGGATTTATTGAAAGTTTAGATAATAAATTGTCAAGTAAAACTCTAACGGCACTAGGCAATGCCACAAAATTACTATTCAATGGCTTTAATGCATATGTACAATAACTGCAAATCATAATCCTTTGTTAGCCATCTTTACATATCCGATTTTTTCATTCTGTTTTTTGAGACAAATCCGAAATATTTACGATTCTATAACTTACCTTATTTTTTTGACGATCCATATTTTTTACTTGATTTTTTCCTTCAACCTTTGAAACAAAAACCAATTCATTGCTGATGTTTTGGTTCGCTGATATATTAATATTCCCTAACTTGCTAACTGTGTTTAAATGAGGTGTGATCCTTATAAAGCATAAATTAATTCAATAATCATTTTGCCTCCCACTTGCCAATCGTTTGTCATTTTATTGATACATTAGTATGATATATATCATCATCATCATTAAAGTTTTTTTTTTAATTATTTGGACTCAACTACACTAATGTTGATATGTGATTTATTCTATCAAGAACTATATCCTTACATGCATATTTATAATATTGTAAATATAAACAAATAAATTAATTAATACATAGGGGAAGAGAAAGAGAGAGGAGAGAGAGAGGGAGTGGGAGAGGGGGGAGAGAGGGTAACATGTGCACCATATGTGGTCAAGGTCACGATAGAGGGACCATGTCATGATGATTGAGTGTGTGAGAGATAGAGGGCCTATGCTATTGATGATAATAATGAAAGATGCCCATATGAAATTAGCGAAAGAGGGTTCAATGGAAGAGAGATGAGAGTGGGACATAGAGAGGAGATGAGATTGAGAGAGAGGGGAGAGGGGAAACAACTGATCAGTTTTAAGGGGAATAAAATGGAAATAGTAAGATAAGCTTTCTAAGAAAGATGAAGTTCTCATTATATTTATCATATTTCTAATTCTATGGATCCAATTCTTTTTAAATCTTATTGAATATGTTTAACTATATTTTAAATAATTAAAATAAATTTATAGATCTCTCTAACCAATTCCCACTATCTATTTTATTATTATTTTTAAGTGGATGGTGAAATAGCACAAAGTTATACAATTTGTCTTTTGCTTTCATGTTAATTAGGTCAGGATCCATTATCCATCAATTAAAAATTTATAAATTTCCAAAGAAAGAAGTTATTAAGTAAAGGGGAAAGTTTATATAGCGGCTATGAACAATCAAATTTGAGCCTACCTTAAAAATTTTATTAGAAAATGTTGTTTTGATGCCCAAATATTGTCAAATTGATCATCTCAACATCAAGATGCATGGACATAGAGAAAAAATTGGATTTCGAGTTTTGTAAATAGTGTATTTTGTAGCGTACTTTTTTACCATCAGATTTCAAGATTTTCAAGTTTCATAGATCTGTTGATATACACTATTTTTGAAGCTTTAAACTTTATAAATAAATATAAAAATATATTTTAAGACTATCACAAAGATTCCCGGTAGTGAAACCACATTTCTTGACAATATTTGAAGATAGGCTCCAATTTGATTGTTTAGAGCCTAGGCTCTATACAAAACGCACCCTTAAATAAAAGGGGGTCCAATAGCCATGTTAGTGTTATTATTAAATTGATTTGCCGTTTATTTATATATAACAATTACAATAGTTATTTTATGCTTTTGAAAACAAACCACATCGTTTTTTATTTCCTATGCTTTTGAAATTCAAAAGATTACTTAAAACTCAAAATAAATTATATTTTATAATTCGGTATTAATATAAATTCCCATCCCATATTTTAGAAAATACTGCGCACAATGACATTAGTATGATGTAACATGTTATGATTACAACGTAACATTAATACATCATAACCTCTTTTGCACAGGTGTTCATGACACTGTCCTCCAATTTAAGGGAAACTTTGTACTGCCAACTTTCCATTTGTTCGCTCGGGCAAGACACTAAGCTCGGAATATTTTTTGGATTCAAAATTTTGAGGTATAAACTCTATAACATAACATAGCAACCAACCCCAGATAATAATAAAAATAAAGATAAACGAATCAACTTGGATTTTTGACGTAAATGAATCTTATGTTGAATCTCGTGTTTCCTTTGATTTTCGTTCTTCCATTACACATTGGTCCCCTTAATCCAAGATCGTAGAGAAGCTCTTTGAGATTGACCCTGATGACACGGTCTTGGCATTTGCTGACATGATGAAGAAGAAGATATCCATGCCTCCTCAGTTGATGTATGATGGGCAAGATGACCACGCATTTCTCGGATGTTGTTCAGAAGTTGCAGGTTTATACAACTAAGGATTATACAGATATCATTGAATTCCTGGTTAATCGATGTATCTTTCTGGGAAGGTGCAGAAGGCCCAAGATTTTGTGTGTGGCTTGGCTCCAAGGTTGGAAGAGAGACTCCAAAGTCGGGCAAAGCAAGTCGCAACAGTTCCTTTCAGCTGGATTTTCAACAGGGAAGTTGTGTAGATGGGCCACAAAGGTCAGTTGTATACTGCTCTTAGACATGGATAGGATTTCTTTGACACTGGTTGCTCTGCAACCGCATTTTCATTTTGGGTTCTTCTGCAATGGGATGCGGGTTAGTCGGTGGATCTCTGAGTCATCATTTGCAGTGTTCTCTCGATGTTTGGAATTTCATTGATTAGATGTAGTTTGAGGTCCCCGGTTTGCTTAGTGAGGTTGAGCTTCTTGACATGGGAAAAGATGATATAATATGGGTCTATCTACGTTTGCAGTATCTGATGTAAAGAACTGCTTTTATATTGGTTATCATGAGTAACATGATGGATCTTCTTTTCATTTTCTTTTTCATTCTTTTCTGTTTCCTACCACTTTCAATGATTTGCAGCGGTCATCCTTTTCACGTTTTGGGAATACCTTATTAGGAAAATGGATCAATCCACGTCCATGTGATGTGCGATACTGATGGAGCAGTCCACTGTCCTTTCTCAATAGAGGATGGTGAAGATGAACTTATTGGTTCAGGTGATGGACATTCACCGATCTCCATCACATCTTCTCAAAACACAAGGTGGACACCTTTTTTCTTTGTTTTGTGAGCATTATATGATGCATTTGCCCCTTTAGGTGCCTGTGGACATCCAATAAGTATGTTAATGGTGTTTTCACACGCGATTGCATTCAATAGTTCAGAGTCTTCTGACCTACTCTTCTTTTGAACTTTTTAAATTTGCCCTATCATGCACCATTAAAACCCAGTATGGTACCTAGCCTCTAAAGCAGTGAAATCCCATCACATTGAAGACTTTAGGCATCACCTTTGGAATTCTAAATTCTAACATATGCGTTGACCCCCTCTCGAAATTGTGTTGTTCTCACCTAGATCGGTACAGATTGAAGCGTAAACAATGTGCACCAGTCTCTCTTTCTCTAAATTCTATATTCTAACTTGTGAACCAGTCTCCCTCTCTCTCTCAAATGGGGAGTTTTGTGAGATGAACCAGTGGTGCATGGGTGAACTCCTTAAGTATAAGCTCCAGAGCTTCTCACTCTTTAGAGAGAGAGGAAGTAGCCATTGACCACGCCCAGAGCGAGAGGAGAAGTAGTCAGACAAGGAGTTGCCTTCTAGAATGTAACAATTACCAACCACATTTTATAGAATGCGTTTATGTACAATAATCAATTATAAAGTATGAACTGGTTGCTCGAATTTCGTTGACTAAGTCTGGAGATCAAAACAATTGTATAAAACTATGAATCAAGGTTTCAAAAGACCGATCCGTGGGCCGGATCGTCAATCCAGATTGTTGATCTGACGCATTAGATCGGCATTCTAGATTGTCGAACCGGTGATTAAAATTTTAAAAAATTGAAAAAAATTAAAAGAAGTGGGACCGGTTTCGATTGATCCTCCGGCAGAACAGGCTAGTTATGTTAAAGAACTGGCCAGAATCCTCCATCTCATGGAGGGAATTGACAAGTTCCGAATATGTAGCGGGTACGTGCAATTCCTAATCTAGATCGGCCAGTTCTGATCTAGATTGACAATTTTTTTAGTGAAGCCCAAAACTTTATATGCAAAGTCCCTCTTCCCATGTTATATATTTTGGGATAAAACAATAAAAAAAAATCTTCTGTAATTTTTGGGCTTAAGTCTTCATCTTCGGATCCTACTATGTGTGTTGTTCGTTGGTTTTTCCAGTTTACAAAATTGATGGCAAGGGGGAGTAATTTGGTAAGGGGAAAACTTTCTATGCTTCCCTAATGCATATAAGTTATATACTTTCCTGTGTCCAGCCGTCTGATCTTAATGGAGGGCCAAAATGGACCCAATCACAAGGTACGATTCTATTTTTAAATTTTTCTACTAAATATTTTGACACCAATTTTTGGTCGCCCACTCCTCTCTTAAAGTCACACTTGTAAAAAATATAAAAAAATATTTTCGATAAAATAAAATTACCAAAATACCTCTAAAAGTTACAGGGGTATTTTGGTTATTTTATTTTATCAAGAATATTTTTATATTATATATAGATGTGCCTTATTGAGATGATGGATTTCATATTTATATGATTTGTAAAAAAAAATTTAAAATAAAATACTATAACATACTAGATCTAGATTAAAGAGTCAACCATTCACTTGATATAAATTGAACGACTAGAGAGCAGGAGAAGTATATGATTTATATATATAACGAAAATTATAGAAAGCTTTCCCTTTCAAAGAGGCATTCTAGGGCATAGTTGACATTTTGGAACTGGAAATTTCAAAGTGTTCTTTTGAGTACAATTAGACGTCCATGTCACTCAAAAAGAAGTCAGTATTGGCGTATCCAAATGGGTTTGGGCCGTGTATTTGGGGTTTAAGACCTAGTAATTTAAAGCAGGCTAGCTGGGGGTGGGCCAACATGGCCCAGTTTCCATAGTTGGCACGGCCTAATCCGGCCTGAGCTGAAGGGGCCCGAGCTTAAGCCCAGCCTTGGCCCGGTTTAGGACTGTCTGAAAACGCTTTGTCATGACCATGTCCCAGCCCAGGCCGAGGCCCAGCCTTGGCCCGGTTTAGGACTGTCTGAGCAAGCTTTGTCATGATCATGTCCCAGCCCAGGCCTAGCCAACTCTAAGGTTGTGGTGGACCAACTCTTGCCACTGGGCTGTAGTTGTTCAAGGCTTGGTTAACCGGGCCACCAGAGCCATTGCCAGCCCTAAGATCAAGGGCACTATATACATGTTCGAGGATATTTGTAACCTAAAACACTTATTTGAGTTTTCTAGCATTTGGTTTGTTTGCAATTTGTAAGCTATTTTGTCATTCTGGTGTTGCTGGGTGGAATCAAAATTTGAATAAAGAGTGTCTCTTGCTAGAGCTGCATCTAATCTTGGTTCCATGGGGTCTATGTTCTTGTAAATATTCTTAATTTCTGATGATAAAAGATTTTCAATTGTTGGGTTTTTAAGTATCTATGAGCATTTGGGTCATTTAGTAGGTAATATAACTGTAGAGTGGAGACTATTGAATTTTGGGCCTTGGGTTATTCAAATTGAACAACAATCAAACTATAACTGAAGCTTGTTTCATTTTCTAAAATTGCATCCAATCTTCATTGGGTTTCATGAGTTCTCAGTTATGTATGTCATTATGTTTTTTATGCTGTTCAAGAATAAGAGCAATGTTTGTGAAAAAAGAAGTCTAGTAGATATTTTGGTAGCAGCAGTGACTCTTGGGGAGTGGATAATTATATGTGGATTCAGTTAGAGAACCAGCCATCAATTAGGACTGTACAAAGTGTTAAATGCTGTGCAGTTTTTGGTCCTAGTGTACGAATGGTCTAATATCTTATCTGCTATGAAATGTATCTTGATTTTATTCTGGATATATGAAATATATTATTCTGCAACTTGATCTTTTCATGGTTTTGGATACCAGGCTACTTGAGATGCCACTTAACTTGCTTATAGGCTAGCAATAAATGGGAAACCTTGAAACTTCCATTGATGTTTTAATGGACTGAACCATTGGTTTCAAACAATTTGTAAGAACTGACCATGGCTCTTAGTTTGGTTACAAACTTACAAAACGATGGAATATCTTATTATCTGTACATATATGTACAAAAAATAGTAAAACAAAAACAGAAACAATCAAATGAAAATATTTGCTTCTCCATATAACACTTCCCCTCAAAGACAAAAAAAAAAAAACGGGGAAAGAAGAAAAGGCGAGAAAAGCAAATTGGACAAATAAACATGTCTTCTTTCCTCCCCCTACTCCTCTTCATAGGACCACCTGACTAGAAAAGCTAGGCATCTTATTCAAATACTTCAATATTCTCTCAACCACCACCCTTGTACTGTTGCTACGCCCATGATGGAATGCAGTTACCAGGCTAGAGATGAGGACCCTATCCCTTGACATATCATTCACCCATATATTATGAAATCCATTCTCTAGCAATCTCTCAACCACACGAAAGATGTTTTGCCGCGCCTCTTCGTACCTATGCTCCCTCAAAACATTCAACACATGCTCAACCACATTATGAGCAATTAAGATATCCACACTTCTTTGAACATTGACTCTCTCATCAATTAAGGTGCATATTGTTGAAAGCGCTGCTTCCACCACCCTCACATTCTCATGGTCTAAACAAGCCAGTACCCCCTCTAAGGCCTCTGCCTCCAACAAACAAAAGGTGGTCTTTGAAGAGCACACACCCCTATGAATTGGGCACATCTCAATATCTTCATCTGAAATGATGCAACATTTGGGTTTGAATATGTTGTTGCTTCTTCTAGTCTTTTGGGGTTCTTTTGATAGATAAACTGTCTCTAATGAAAGCTTCTCCAAACCAACTAATGATTGTATCAGAATCTCGTCACTGTTTGTTCTAGTCAGTAGTTCCTTGAACACATCAATCAGGTTGTATTCTCTTACGAATGAAAGCACATGGAAGTCTTTTAGTATGAATGTGAACCCTACTAGTATGCCAACAAGCCCTTCTATGTAGGAATTCACAAACCTGCTTGTTCTTGCATCACCCTTTTGGATTTCATGTATTCTATGTGTGATAATGGGAAAGATGTTGTTGTGGGTTAGGGCCAAGCTTAGGGTTAAGTTTTCATGTGGGAGGCTAGCTAGGAAGTTGGCAGTGACAGATTGCTTCTCAGTGACCCTTCGGGTATCAAGGATTTTGACTAGCTTCCCTGGTTGCCCTTCTGTTTTGCATAGGCTATCTGCTATGATGTGACCCATGTGTTTTGACAGAAAGAGTAGTAGATTAGTTGAGGCAATGGTGAGTTCTTCATGTTCGTAGTCAATGAGTTCAATTAGGGTGTAGGTGGATTCAGTCTCTCTGATCATAGAGACAATGGTGTTTGTTGCTTTGGGTGATTGAATTAGGCAGAGAAGGATCCTGATTAGGTACTTATTTACCTCGGGCTTTGAAGTTTGGAGCATCTGGATTATGGGGTAGATAACATAGTTTGAAACCATTGTGTGCCCTTGTGGGGTTACTCCAATAGATTCGAAATTGAATCCTGATTCGAGTATGTTCACTAGAACTGCAGCTGATTCTTCCTTGAAGTTTGTGGATTCACTATCGCTTTGTTCTGTCAAAATCTCTTTTGCCATCAGGGGAAGGATGCCTGCTTTGATGAGTATATCTCCATTAGGGTGATGCGATGAGATCTTGATCAGAGCTCTTAATGCCGCTTTCCTTGTTAGACTGTTGGGGTTGTTCACCAATTCGAGAAGGACATTTGCAGCTCGGTTGGCAACATATTCCTTGCTCTTATTCTCAAGATCTATATCTCCAAGGTAGCTTACCATCTCCATTTGTATCCTCTCTGAACCTGTGCTACTAAAAGATGTCAGGATTGCTTGTCTTAATTTTTTAACTTTCTATAGAGGAAAATGAATGTTATTAGTGAAAATTCGACCTGAAAAGATGAAAATTTCCGAGCTTCTGACTGGTGGTTAATATTTTAAGACTGCAGATTATTGATAATGCAGCTGCTCATGGAAAATCATAAGAAAACCTTGCTTCTGTGGATATTGTGCATTGGCTGTAATAGGAGCTTAAGACATGTGTCATTTACAAGTTGCATTGATTAAAAGTTTAAAACCACATGATTTCATTCAGCTTTGAGGTAATTAGGCTGAAATTATTTTGTTTTATTTTTTCATGTTCGTTGAATCCGCTTCCATAAATATTGGACACAATCTTATGTAACAAGTCTTCAGAGGAAACATCTTACAAGGTTTCTACGATTTTAGCCTTATACAACTGTTAATTGGTTCTAAATTATCATGCACACCATTTTTCCATATTTGATGTTGGTTATCTTTTTCAAAAAGCTGTGGAAATGTTGCAAGCATTTTTAAACATTAAAATTCCATGGTTATGTTTCAAAGAAAGGAAGAAAGTGTCAGATTGTACAAAATTTCCTTGGATGTATCTCATGACAGTAAGTTAGTATAGATTAAGAAAACAGACACAGGAATCTGTTGCAGGCTTAATTTAATCCATAGCTGAAGTGATTCATTATTGTGACAACATTTAAATACTCAGTTAAACTTTATAGTGCTACTTGATGAATGTTGGATAAATCTTAACTCCCTGTTTATCAAAAAAAAAAAGAAAAAATCTTGACTCCCTATCTAAGGTGCAATGGATGAGCTTTGGGGTCTGCCATCTACTTGCATATGTCTGAGTTCAGCACTTCAGTTTATCTTTCCATTGATTTTGAAGACGATAGAGCATGGAAACAAGTATTATAGATACAGACAGACCAGATATAAATATGAAACAAATATTTATGATTTATCAGATAACACTGTTGGGGAACGTACTTCTTTGTACCAAATGGAATGTGATACATGAGTAGTGTTTACCTTCGACAAGATGGTTCAGAAGGGGCTCCGGGAGGCCATTCTCTGTCATTAACCTGATGTTTGTTGAGCATTTCTCCAAGTTTCTTAAAGTTGTGTCAGCTTTCTCTGCAGCTATAGCATCAGTGGACTGGTTGTACTTCAATGTGATCAGTAATAGAATCCCTCCTGTGACTGATCCAATTTTCTCACACAAGGATTCAGATTTAGAAAGCTCCAGTAAGAATGATAATGCAGCATGCCTTTCTTGAGGGAAATTGCTTGACATGATTTTAACTGTACTGGGAATTGCTTTTGTTTGAGCAATAATTTCCTGCATGACGTATCTGTTAATTAGCAAGCAAAATTGCCTTATCGTTTTATATAAAACACTAGTACAATGTAATCCAATTGACTTGGTATACTCATTACCCATGAGGCCTTCATTGTTCTATGAAATGGACAGCGATGAATGGAGAGCTGTAGAATACCATCCCATTACTGTCCTTCCTGCTCTCCCTACATCACTTTCCATTATTTCATCCGATGGTGATGACAGGCTATGGTTTAACATTGTCCATTTTATTCTGCTGTTACGTTTTCTATAACATATGCTATGTTCTACGGAAAAGTCATACCAGCTATTGGGAACAAGTTGGGTACCTTATTAGCTTCATCATCTTCAGCCAGAATTCTCAAAGTATCCAGCGCTTCACAGCGTACTATCTTGTCATCATATTTTAGAAACTCAGCAATCGGTGGAATCATTCCGACATTACGTATTTGATGCTTGTTGTGTTCTCTCTTTCTACAAAGGTTTTGGAGGTCTTTCATAGCTTCAATTATCATGCATTCTGAGCTTGCCAGTGAGAGGGCAGCACGTGCTAACTTGATTCTGCTTGCTTCATTTCTCTCCTTCCATTCTTTGATTGTGCTCTTCAGTGATGTGTTAGTGGCAAATGAAGTGCTTTTGAGCTCTATTCTAGTGACAGGGCAGATGGGTGGGTTGCTGTCATCCTCAAACTCTTTTAACCACTCAATTATGGCACTTCTTTCATATGTTTGACCGCTTTCAATTGTGACAGGGTCCTCCATGATCTTCTTTGTTAATGGGCAGAAGAAAGTCTCATATAGAGGCTCAATGTAATCTGCAACTTGGGGCAATGTCCTCATTGTTGCGTTTCCATCATCATCATTCGCTTGTCCTCGGAGGTTCATGTTGCTTAAAAAGTCAATCAACCGAATATCATCTCCTTGCCTCTCCAAACATGCACCTTTATTTGTCAAATTTGAATGGTTCAATTCAATTGGATCTTCTAACTTGATTTCTTTAGTATTAGAATTTGGTTCTCCGTACTTGGAAGCCTTGGAATCAACCTTAGTTACCTGAAAAATAGTGTTTCTCATATCCCTCGAAAGTGATCTCACTGCAAGCTCTGGGTAATCATGGTCTTGAAACGATGAAGAGGGAATTTGGCTCAAGTTATGTCCCATACTCTTGACCACTCTTTCTAGCTGCTTGATGATTTGTTCAGGCCTTGTCTCAGAATCCAAGTGAGTTTCTGTTTTGCATTTTTCGACCAGTGCCTTTGCGAGGTCAACATCCCTGGAAAGCGACCGCAGAATTTGGGTCACATCCCCCGGCATTCGTTGTGCTTCATTCAGTTCCATTAGGATTGGATTAGTTCGTTCAAGATAGCATGCAAATTGCATGAAATTTTCTTGCTCAAGCACAGTGCTTAATACCAATTCTTGAACCTCTAAGATACTTATCAGGAGAGATTCAGTGAGATTCGGGGCTGTGTCTTCATCTATGGGTAGCTCAACAAGAAGGGAAAACATCTGAAGATGTTCCCAAGTTCTATGATTTTATATTGATCACTAGACATCAACTATATTCCCCCATTTACTTTCATTGCTTGTAACCTGAATCACGGAATTCAGTAGCTGTTAAGGATCTAGTCTGTGGATTACCCTTGCCACCAAAAGTTAGTATAGCTGTGATCTGTTGGTGCAAGAAAATGCTATATGGCACACCATTGGGTCCTCCATTTATTCTCACAGAAGTATGGTGGAGATTTAACCATATCCGATAAATGCCTATCGGAAACTATTGCTTAATCTCCATCATCCATCTTTGAGATTGGATGCCATGGCAGCGGCATACCATATGCATGTTCTTTATGGTGTACATTCCCTTGGTTAATCCTGTTAGCTTATTGCATGGGTAAAAAAAATATGTGCCCCACTAGATCTTTAAATTTGTATAATACATAGGAGTGAAGAAGATGCCTTTTCACCACTAATATATAGTAAATAATTCAAACTTCCAAGAGAATCCACATCTAAGATAGTAAGTAAATCAAGTTCTTGAATTAGGTGTAATATGGCAGAATACATTTAATTATGTGAATGATAACTCAGTTTTGTTCATTTGGTTGAGACCCTCCTGCAGCAAGTGCAACTGCCCCAACTACCCAAGAGGAAGTTAAAGCAATTGTGTTTTTTTTTTTTTCAAAAAAATGTGTTATTTTCTTCAAGAAGGAGGAGGTAATCTACAGCTAATTGAGTAAATAACTCTAGATTTTAAATGTGTGAAAAGAATATATGCTCCGCGCGAGAGCATATTTCTCTCCCCCAGGTAAAACCCTAATTATGAATATTTCTAGGACCACAAATTTTGGGGGATGCTACTTGACCTAGCAACCAATCCACAAACTATAAGAAATCAAAATAGAAGAAGCATATGCCCCGATTCAATTTTTGAACGGTCAGTTTTGAGTAGTTAGGAACTGAAAATCATTTTTTTTTTTTTAATTATTTATTTTTAAGTTTCTCGTCTGGTGATCCTAAAATGGATTCCGAGATTTTGTGGGGGAGAAAATTGTGCGTCTTTTGCCTGTGTAGTAGAAGTACAGTATGCTCCCATTGGAGCATACTACGACCCCTCATTAAATATTATGACACCGAACGTTTAGATGGACCTTTTCTGCATGTGGTCCTTGGGACCATGAAATTTTCTCTAAGTACTAATCAGTGTGGGAAACTATGGCTGAGCGGGGGCTAGCCCAAGTAATTGGGACTTGGCCCGAGCAACTCAGCCTGCGTTGGGCCGAGTTCGGCCAAGCCAAAAAGTTAGGAAAAAAGAAAAAAGTATAAAATATTTCCAAAAATAGGAAAAGTATATTTAAAATAAAATTAAACATAAAACATCTAAAAGAGGTTGAAAAGTAATAAAAAATGAATTAATTTTTATTTGTGATGGGAGTATTTTATAAATAATCCAAAAAGAAGAGAAAATGTAAAAATAAGTATTCATAGTCAAAACACTTTCTACTTTGTGAAAATGTGATAAAAAATATATAAAAAAAATATTTCGAA